AAATTTCAATATTTCATTGAAAGTGGGAGTGGCCGAAAGAAAATAAAATGGCGATCAGCACATGGGAATCAGAAGTCATGATTTTTCTACTTTCTAGCGACAAGATAAAGCAAAAAAACTGTCCAAAGACTTCTCCATCTGCATGAAAAAGTTACAGGTCCAATTAAGTAACTATGAAACTCCTTTTTGTTGAGATAAATTGTGAAACTCACAAATGTCTCCTTTGCACTGACTGCACTAAACTGCCCAGCCTTTTATTATCTTATGGCTATTTTAAAGTCAGTGTAGCAAGGCCTAAAGTAAAAAACAAGTGAAAAGTTTTCTAGCAGTAACATAAGCTTGAGATTCTGTTTTTTCCCAGCTAATATTTTACGAGGCTGAGCCCTTGAATGTTCTACATTGTTTCTAGTTATTATTATTATTCGGGCGAGCCTGAGCGAGCCCCACGTAAAGGACACGAGTATGTTTGTTTGTTTGTTTGTTTTACACATACGTCACTCCTATTTATCCGTATGAAAAAATTTCCACTTTTTAATAAACTTAATAATCTTCATTGAAAACGGCTGTGGTCACAGTAAAATAAAATGGTGGCTGAACTTGCAAGTCACTGAAGTCCTGCTATCCAAGTGCAGCAAGCCAGCAACTGCCAGCAAGGAGGGCTAAGAAAGCAGATGTGCCATGTTCTTCATTGATGTAAATAACTTTGATCAAGTCACAGCTAGGCAGAGACAGCCTGAGGCTCTGAGCTAACTTGCAAGAAGCCAAAAACTACATTGCTATATCATTTGTGCAATGACTGGTTGAGCTGTTTTTAATGCTATAAGTAAGGTAACTTGAATTACTGCAGACATTACAAAGGTAGATCATCAAGAACTATGTCTATCAAGTTCCTTCTGAGGATGCACCCAATTCTAATTCTATTCCATTGAAGAAATTTTTATAAAATTGTTTTTTAAACTATTTTATTAGTAACAATGCATGCACTTTTCAATTTAGATGTCTTTGTAGTAATTGTTCTGTTAGGCCTTTTTCTTCTAGCTTTTCTAAATTTTAATAGTTCTATAACCCTAGCCCTCTGTTAATTCAGTGAGACCTTTAAGATACCTCTCTTTTCTATTTTGATTCCATCTCACCTCTGTTGTCACTATTCTTATAAAGTTATTATTATTATTATTGTATGCACATTGCTTTGCTTGCTTAGGCTCGCCCCTTTAATGTTTTACATTCGTCTAGTTATTATTATTATCATCATTATTAGTTACTCGTACACAAAGAGAGGGTCAGAATGATACAATAGTACAGTACAAAAGAGAAGTTCACCAGGTAATTAAATTTTTGTTGTTGTTATTGTTATTATTATTATTTTTATTATTATCATTATTAGTTGCTCGTACACAAGGAGAAGGTCAGAAAGATAGTACAGTACAAAAGAGAAGTGCAACAGGTAATTAAATTGTTGTTGTTTTTGTAGTTATTATTATTATTATTATTATTATTATTATTAATATTATTATTATTATTGATAGTTATTCGTACACAACGTGAGAGTCAGAAAGATTGTACAGTACGAAAGAGAAGTGCACCAGGTATCTAAATTATTGCTCTTATTATTATTATTATTTTGTTGTTATTATTGTTATTTGTTACTTGTTATCAAATAGAGGGTCAGAAAGATAGTACAGTACAAAATGGAGTGCAGCAGGTAATTAAGTTGTTGTTATTATTATTATTACTATTATTATTATTATTACTATTATTATTGTTATTTTTATTAGTTAGTTGTACACAATAAGAGGGTTAGAAAGATACAGTAGTACAGTACAAAAGAGAAGTGCACCAGGTAATTTTTGTTGTTATTGTTATTATTATTCTTATTATTATCAGTATTAGTTACTTGTACACAAGGAGATGGTCAGAAAGATGGTACAGTACAAAAAAAAGTGCACCAGGTAATTAAATTGTGTTGCTTTTGTAGTTATTATTATTATTATTATTATTATTATCATTATTAGTTACTTGTACACAATGTGAGAGTCGGAAAGATTGCACCATAAGAAAGTGAAGTGCCCCATTTAACTATATTATTGTTGTTATTTATTATTATTATTATATTGTTATTATTGCTATCAGTTACTCGTTAACAAAGAGAGGGTCAGTAAGATAGTACAGTACAAAGGAAGAGTGCACCAGGTAAAGTTGTTGTTGTTATTATTATCATTATTATTATTATTATTATTATTGTTATTATTAGTTCTTAGAATGCAAAGAGAGGGTCAGAAAGATACGGTAGTACTGTACAAAAGAGAAGTGCACCAGGTAACTAAATTTTTGTGGTTGCTATTATTATTATTATTATTGTTATAATGATTATGATTATTATTATTTTTATCAATATCAGTTGCTCATACACAAGGAGAGTGTCAGAAAGACAGTACAGTACAAAAGAAAGTGCATGTAGTAATTAAATTGTTGTTGTTGTTGTTATCATAATTATTATCATTATTAGTTATTCATACACAAGGAGAGGGTCAGAAAGATAGTACTGTGGAAAAGAGAAGTGCACTAGGTAATTTAATTGTTGTTTTTGTTATTATTATTATTATTATTATTATTATTATTATTATCATTATTAGTTATTCGTACACAAAGTAAGAGTCAAAAAGATTGTACAGCACGAAAGAGAAGTAAACCATGTAACTAAATTATTGTTGTTGTTATTATTATTATTATTATTATTGTTATTGTTATTAGTTACTTGTTAACAAAGAGAGGGTCAGAAAGATAGTACAGACAAAAGAGGAGTGGACAAGGTAATTAAGTTTTTGTTATTATTATTATTATTATTATTATTATTAGTTACTCATACACAAAGTGAGTGTCAGAAAGATACAGTAGTACAGTACAAAAGAGAAGTGCACCAGGTAATTAAATTGTTGTTGTTATTGTTGTTGTTGTTGTTGTTATTATTATAATAATTATTATTATCATTATTAGTTATTTATGACTCAATTTGAGAATCAGAAAGATTGTTCAGTACGAAAGAGAAGTGTACCAGGTAACTAAATTATTGTTTATATTATTATTATTATTATTTTATTTTTTATTATTGTTATTAGTTACTTGTTAAGAAAGAGAGGGTCAGAATAATAGTACAGTACAAAAGAGGAGTGCACCAGGTAAATTAAGTTGTTGTTGTTGTTATTATTATTATTAATATTGTTATTATTATTATTATCATTACTAGTTAATTGTGCACAAAGTGAGAGTCAGACAGATTGTATAGTACGAAAGTGAAGTGCATGAGGTAACTAAATTATTGTTGTTGTTATTATTATTATTATTATTATCATTATTGTTATTGGTTACTCT